CCCCCCCCCCCCCCCTGCAGCACTGACGAGATCGTGTCTTCGCACGCCGCCGTGCGCCGTCTGAGCGCGAGCCGGGTTCGCGGCGCGTCTGAGCGTGGAGGACTTGCTCCGGGGGGGGGGGCGACCGTCTGACCTCGAAGAACGCGGATGCTTTTGATGCCGTTTGCATTGGAGAAGAAGGGAAACGTGCACGTTTTAAAGGAGGCGTCGTATGTGTGACATCATTTCGTTTGACGCATAGACACAGTAACACCAGAGAGTGTGTGTGTGTGTGTGTGTGTGTGTGTGTGTGTGTGTGTGTGTGTGGAGTTTGAATCCGTCAGCTGGTTGGGCCTGCTCACTGAGGCTCGGCGGGGGCGATGCCTGCGATGATATCGAGGGGTTTCCGGGTCACCGGCAGCCGCTGGAGGTCCGCGTGGTCGCTGTGCCTGTCAGCTTGTGCTCTCATCACATCGCTCGGATGTACTGGTTCCAAAGCACGGACCGTGGCGTGAAATAATTCCCATTTAGTCGCAGTCACGTGTGAAATGCGCACCGAGGTAATGAGGGATGATTGCAGACATTACTGGTGGCGCATTCGGGGCTTTACGCCCACGTGAAGTTTGTGTAATGTGGAAAAACCCCGAGAAGGTCTAACTGCTCGTGTCTCTCGTCCGGAGTTTATTAGAGGACGTGTTGCCAGATTTCACAATTACTTTACCGTTATAAACGGGAACCATGGCGACAATAACTTCCACAACAAATGAGTAACTTCTGTCAGCTGGCCAGCGCTCACATGGACGAGGGGGGGATTGAGCACGTTGTGAAACGACTAAAGCGTGAAAGAAGATGAGTTCCAGGTAGAAATGTAGAAATCAGTAACTGATTTTTGCATATTCCTGTCAAAGTGCAGCGTACAGCAAAAGCTGCGAAACACAACATTCATTTCCTCCTGTTTGTCCCGCTGAACTCAAATCGACTGTAGGCGAAGTTAATTATGATTATCACGATGTATCGGTGAAATAACCCGAGGCCGAATACACGGCTCTAAATAACAGCACAAACATGCCTTTTAAACCTTCAAACATCACATTATTCCACATGACGCGAGCGTCTTCTGCCAGAACACGGCTCCGACTGCCGCTTTCGCCGGTCGCTGTAATTATTTTTAACGCAGAATGTGAAATTGCTCTATGTTTGGCGCTCCGGCGCTCCTGGGACGTGCCTGCGCAGCATAAGTGGCCCGAAACCTTAACCCCTCACAGGGCCGACGCTTCCGCCACAACACAGACTGGAGGAATGCCAGCCTGGTCCCGTTGAGCAACAAACGATATCTACACTGAGACGATGCAGACCCCCCACCCCCTCGGTCATGAGTTTGTGGCGTCTGTCTGCATTTGGTCCCCCTGTGTGACGTGTTAATGCGGGCAACACAAGCCGGTTTCCCTCGCGCACACCAGAGCGGCCTGGATTCTTTTCTCTCGCCGTTTCCATGTGGATTCTAGATTGAACGAGTGCTAATGAGCTAAATTAGCAATCCGGCGTGTGACAATTGGCAAACGCCCTGCGCCCCCGCGTCGGCATCTCGAGCGCCACATTTACCTCTTTGACAAAAACCGATGCAGAATCGGACGTTAGAAATAACGACGTCTCGGTTTTGTTTCACCATCGGGTTGTAAACATCCCAACCCGTTGTTCTCCTCTGCTCCACTTTCCACGAGCACGCGCAGGATGACGAGCTTTCAGCCGACAGCCGGCTGCCGGCGGGTTTCTCCTCCGAGGACCACGAGCCGAGTCTCACCCGTGTTCTCGGTCGCGATACGTCGGGAAGGGCCTCAAAACAACCGCTCCGTGTTACCCTCGCTGCCGCGCCAAGGCTTATCCCGTTAAAGTCTGCGATGGCCTCACATGGGAACCGAATTGGACGTGCAGAGTCAATGTCTTTGTTTATCCTGATGTGTGTGTCAGCGTGTGAGGATGCCCTGCTTTTGGTTTCCTTTGAGCTATTTTTATCCGCACAGAACTGCGAGCTCTCTGTTTTGCGTGGTGAGCAGACGACCCCGTCTCCTCCACGTGTGTGTGTCTGTGTGTGTGTCTGTGTGTGTGTGTGTGTGTGTGTGTGTGTGTTGGCTGATTTGCAGGTTTGGGAGGATTCTCCTGTTAAGCAGAAGAGAGCTATACGAGGCTTTTATTCCCTCAGCGAGAATGACGTGTCTGGAAACAGAAACTACCCCTGAAACCCCGATCGCCCGTCGTCTCGCCCGTCGACTCGCCCGTCGACTCACCCGTCGACTCACCCGTCTTCTCTCCTCTTTCAGGGAAAAGCTGGCCGCGGCTCGCCTGCAGAGGGAAGTCGCACGGAGCAGGAGCGAAGGAACAATGGTAAAGTAGCGCGGACGCTCACTTCACACACACACACACACACACACACACACGCGAGCGTGGTTATGCGTCGGGGGGCGACCCCGAGGAGGAGGTCAGCTGGTGGAACATTACGAGCGGTCGGGAGCCGCATCGCGCACATCGCTGATGTTGTGCTTTCACTTTGTGTAAGCAGGAGACAGAATGTGGAGACGTTTTTCATTGATCGTGTCTCGGAGCGACGCGTGCACACCGTGCAGCGGGGAGGAGGTCAGACAGGGAACCGCGTGATGTACAGCAGAGGCCCCGCCCCCCTCGCCCCCCCCCCCCCGCTGTTGTCGGCGGAGAGGAACGTGGCCGCGCTTTGAATCCCTGACGTTCGAAGGATCCCATTCCTGTCTCCGCAGATTGAACACTGGTTGGGGTATAAATTAGCCGCTCGCTAGTTATCCGTCATCTTACGGATTGGAAGTGGAGACGGGTGGGCTTTTGGGGGGCCCCGGGGGGCATGGCGTGCAGTCTTTGGGGGGGGCTTCTCTGCCATCTCCTCACACACACGCTCACGAGCTGAACTATGTGTGGACATCAGAAACTCAAGCGTTGTGCAGATAATGTTCTGCCCGTAGTAGTTAACAGCGGGGGGGTCGGACTCATTACAGCCTTCAGAAGGGAACTGGACGGGCGCGGCGGGAAAGAAATGTTAACGTGGACCAGAACACAAAGACTAATTAAGCTGCGTGAATAAAAAAAAAAAACACATCACACAGACGGCTGACGCACCACGAGACGAACACGCAACGCACACAAACGCACACAAACGCTACTCACATTGCACGATCAGCTCCACCAACGGCCTCCCGGGGCTTCACGTTTGAAGCCGTTGTACTGGGCTGGTCTGGCAGCGGTACGAGCCCGTCATCCTCCCTGGGACACATTAACGATACGCAAACGCCGTCGTAGCTCTTCCATCTGCATGCCGCCGTCCGGCATGGGCGCCT